GTTACACCTGACCCCTGCACTATGTACATTACATACTTCTGATGCCTGCACTCTATACATAGCCTTGAGTTTTACATTTTCCCACTGCATTTTTGCCACACCCACAATTTGCCATTCTCAGCTGCCTGCACATACTAAGGCTCCCTTAAAGGGATTAAAGTAAATTGGATGAGATTGATGATATGAAAAAAACAGGACTACAGCTGAATGATTCCATGGAGACTTCAGTAGTAGCTAACATTGTCCTCCAGCTGGCTAATATGTGTAGTTGAGAGTGGTGGTTGTAATTTAACATACACCATGAAAGAATTTAGGCAAAGCTGGATTATCTATTTTATTAATATTACAGAAGAGCTATATAAAGGGATTGTTCAGAAGCTTTTTATACTGCTGAAATGTAGGAATGACGTAAACCAAAAACTGTAGACTATATCAAGCTTTCGATAAGCGAAATATCTCCAGTAACACTGCTATCTTGTCCTGTCCTGTCCTTGCCTGCTCGATGCACAGATGGCCACAGATAAGGGTCCTGGTGGCAGAAGGAGATTTGTGATTTCACAGCTTCTCCCCTCAAATCTAATAATCTCTTTCCATTAACTAGAGTGATCAGGATTTTTGTTGCACCCTCTGCGTCACATGTTATGTGGGACATCTTAATGGCATTTCCAACACAGAAGCTGTATAAAAACTTAAAAGTCTACATACAAATCCACAGGTTTGCAGTGATGATCTGCAGTCAGTAATGGCTCTACAAGTCATAACTAAATGCTGCAGCACTCTAGTAAACATGTGACGTATAAGTAAATCCGGATCATCCACAAAGCAAACAAGCCATTTTTGTTATTTTGTGGGCCCCTCTGATCCTGGTTTCACTTTATAACTAAAGTTGTGACTTCTCACAATTTAAGAAAAAGCCCTGCCTACTTGCCAATTCCTTGCCTAATGAGATTGTCTCAGTAGTCAATAAAGACTCTTTCATTAGACATAGGAGGGATGGTGGGTGTAGGCAGGAGAAATCAGTTGGCGCTTGAAGGGTGGTGATTATACTCCATTAGGCTGGCAGTGCTGCAAGTAATTCAGTGATCGCTCAGTCACTTTCTTGCTTGGCTGGCAGTGGCAGAGCAACTACTGTTTACTATTGATGATAGAGGAAGCCCAGCATAGGAACAACATGTCCTCTGCTATAGGCTACGGGTGCCATCTTGGGGGAGCATGTGTCTAGGGTTGACACAGAGGCCTTGTGAGATTTGGGCAGACAACTTGGACACAGAGGGGCAATATGTAGCTCCTTCTGAGTCACTGAGGTGCCCTTGCAGTGTGGAAGGTACAAGGCAGGGACAGGAAACTGTCTGTAAGGAAAAATTAAACCTATAGCCAAGCACATGTTCCTAACTAGGAGGGACAGTTTAGACTCCTGCTCAGTCTTATCTGGGAGGGGAAGAGCAGTCCCTGACCACATTTTCAGGGTCCTAGTCTGGTACATAGATTATCACACAGCAGAGAGCACCCTTAAGCCCACAGCAGTTGGGCTTAAGGAGGCATGCATCATGCAACCTCCTGTAAGATAGGCCGGGAGCTATGGAACGAAGTGCAATAAGCAAAAGGCCAACATGACAAGGATGGGAATGGGAACTAGGAGAGAAAGGGACTGGAGGAGAAGGCTTTACAGATGGGGCTTCGGAGAGTATCCGGGAAGGAGGAGTTCCAGGAGCCAGCGTGACCAGAAGAAGGAACGAACTTGCCACCCAACCCGCCCTGGTATGGTTTTGATGGTGTTGAGGTTTGTCGCAGCACTATGGCGGTTTGGATCCTTGAAGGCATTTGTCTGGGTTAGATAATTTGACGGGGGGACCCATCGGTGGTGTGGGTGGCCTTCTGTTGTGGTAAGGTCAAACGTTATGACCTGGTAATAGGGACCATGGTGTGTCTGTGGGCAATATAATTACGTCCCCGATGCGGTGTATGGCGGCTGGGGTCATTCCGGTTTAAGAAAGGTGCCCGCAGACACTGGTCTGTTTTTGGATAGTTATAGTGCCTTCAAGGACCTTGAAACCTTGCAATTCCTACTGTACGGTTATTGTGGTTTTGTTGTTATTTAGAATAGTTATTTATAAAGTTTTGTAATGAAAGGCTGCTGTGGCCATTTATACTCCAGCCCTGGTGTAGTCTGTTAATTGAAAGGAAGGGGATGGGGAATCGAAGGTAAAGGGGGGTGGTTGGCAGTTAAAGTGGGACCTCTGAGCTACCTTAGTCATGTAAGCACTGCATACTTGTACTGCATTGCCATTTGTGTTGTATGTGCTTGTTTGTACAGAGGTGAATTGTAGAGAATAATTCTCTGTTGTTGTAACTGCTGATAATTCTCAGATAAAAGAAGGCTGAAAGGTGAAGCTGTGTAACCTGTTACCTTTTAACCTCTGCTATACGGAAGCACCTGTCACATGGGTAGACAGAGTTAGAGATAAATGCAGGGAAAAAGCTCTTAGTAACAAAATAAAACCAGAAAGAGGAGCACATAGGCAGCTTTCCTGGCTAACAATATAAATAACAGGCACTAATTAGTATTTGCTCTTATACAGAACATTTACTTTTAAAGTTTTAAATGGCTGACTGATTCAATTTAAAGCCCAAATTTAGCTTAATGTTTTGTAGTCTCGTATAGAATAGTAAATATTTCTGTCACATTTTATTTCTGTCATGAGTTGGGTTTAAGGAACCCAGAGATTTCACCTGAGGTAGGCCATCACCATCATGCCTGGTAATGGTAATCAGTGCAAGGCAATACATTTCCGCAAAAAGTTGACAATTTAGTTTTTCAGCTTTTAAAGTTTATCCCAAGGTACAGCCATGCCTATTCTCTGGACTGTTCTAAAACGTCACTGCTGGGGCAATACAAGAATGCACACCCATAGTTTGTATGGTGGTTGATTTATGGCTTCACTTCTGACCGCCATTCTATCTCAATGACTAGCTTTATGTCTGAAGGGAGTTTGTCTAGCCCTTCTTGTCTACTTAGGCAGTTGAAATATTTATTTTCTTCTTTAATCAATTTGGCAGTGCTTCACACAGCAATTGTTGAAGAAAATACTTGGTGGACACAGCTACATAGATGATTGTTACTCAAACTTGATATATATTAGTATCAAGCAATGGTCGGTATGCCTGTGGCCAGCTTCAGACCTCTGCTGGACAATGAATCTCCAGTACAATGCCAAACTCTCTAGTTGAGTTTTTTCATCCAGTACATTATTGCTCCTGCAAGATAAGAATAGCATTCGGGATGTACACCCACTGCATAGACCTGTATTTTTGTGCAACACAAGTCAGCATACACACATGGCCACCATATAATGCCTATAGTTATCTAATGACATCATTACAGAAAAAGATTACTTTATCGTCTATATTCTCAAACTTTCTTCATCACATGATTCTGAACAATCCCTCTCAGATGTCAATTCCTAAACTAGAGTTGACATCTGAAACACATACCTCCCAACTTTCTGAGATGAGAAAGATGGACACCTTCCAGCACAATGTACCTAGGCAATGAGCACACCGCTGTCACAGCCCCACTTATGCAGACCATTAAGAATTTATATGCCTAAAATGATTGGTTAAATTATTGGCTTTTAAAAATAGCACACACGATTATTAAGAGATAAGTAGAAGGTTTTAGTGCAGAATAACACTTTTGGTAGTTAAATAGAACATTTTTATAGATATCTGAACATCAGACCAAAAATAGGGACAACTGCGGAACTAAGAGGGTCAGAGACATTTTATTTGGTACCAAATGAGGAACAGTCCCTCCAACTGAGAGAAAGTTGGGAGGTATGAAAATAACAATTTCTTCCCTGTAAAAGACCATGTCCATTAAATGCAGATCATATCTTCAGTATGATGCAAGATGCTAAAAGCAAAATCACAGTTCAGAGCTAAATTTACCACAAGCTGACTATGTCTTCTTTTTTTAGCATGTTTTCAATGGATGTTCAGAATTCAAAGATAAAATCAAAAAATGCATCTCTATCAGGTGATCTGTGATGAATATAAACATAACTGCAGTAGACAAACAAATGCAAAAAAATGCATTCGCCTGTCAAAGCTTCAGTACATCAACATCAGCTCAATCCTTGTGGGAGACATGTAAAGTATTTATATTGTGCAGGACTAGCAAAGCCTCAATCAATTGCTTCTACTTTGCTGGTGCTGCAGCAAGTGCCTCTCCGGCATTCACAAGAGACCTCTATTGTCTCCTGTGCCTAATCAATGTCCTCTTAATTTCCAAGTCTGGATCAAAGATCGGGTTTTTTTGCAAATGAAATCAAGTCTCCAGACCCTACTATCATCACTTCTACTAACACAAATGGCTGCATTCATCTGTTACACTTTTTGTTCCAGGTCAATTTAGACAACTGCAACATGATAATGTCAAGACTCAAGGAGGGAATGTTGCAGAGCATCCTTTGATAGAAGCATTGTTTGAGAACAAGCTCTTCCCAGCTCGGTGACATATTCCACTGCCTGATTCCGCCTTTGTAAAACAGGTCATATGGCTGTCGTTGTTTACACAGCTCATCTGAGTCCCCTTTCAAAGGGAATGTATTTGCTCTAGCAAGGATTAGGACATATGAAAGAAATAACAATGGATGCCAGCTGCCTAATGTGTTACAGGAACGGTTAAAGGAGTCACATTTTGCTCACAGCATGAGATGAAAATTTTCACCTTCTCTGCAGGATGCAGAAAAATCGGAGCCCGTTAAGCTTTTCATGAATCTGCCCGTCCTGTATAACATTAACTAGCAATGCTTTTGTCACACACATAGCTTGAGTTGATTGCTACCTCCTCATGCTTTTTAATACAAATCTGGGAGTTATGGCATAATGGAGAATGTGACGGGGTGGAGGATGTATGTGAATCACAGCTACAGGGTGAGGGATAGGACCACACAGGACAAAGAAAATGAGTGGGGGCTCTTGAAAACGGTGAATCTTACCCCAGGTTAGACCCACATGGCCGGGGCGGTTTTTCTGTTTCTTGACCCCCCAAAGCAGCATCCATTTCATCTGTGGTGCGTGTCGGACAGCTCAGGCTGAGAGAACGGAGCTTTGTACTTTGATGCATTATCCAGAGAGGACAGACCCCCGCCTGATAAATAATCCCCCCTACACCAAGCCTCCTGTCCTCGTTTGTGTGACAGCTCAGTTTCAGCCCTCTTAATCCCCCCCTAGGCGTCTGGTCAGGCAATGTAACACATGTGTTGGGGGAGCTGCTTGCATCTACTCCCATACACCTGCCATTCCATGCATTCACTGATGCTGAGGAGAACTATCCTGACTGCATGGGTACCAAAACACTAATAGTCACATGATGGCTGATCCAGGCATAACCTCTCCTCCTCCAAAACCCATATTAACTGTATGTGCTCAGCCCCATCCTCTGCAGTGGATGATGGATATCAGGGCTCAGTGCTGAGGATCACTTATTAACCATCTCAGGCCCACTTATGGGCATGCACAGTAAAAAAAATTTCATCCAGTGTATATATGTTTAATACTGAGGCCAAAATGTAGAACAGAATATTACTCCACCTATGCTGCACACATGAAACAGATCATGAGAATAATACTGGCCAATGAAGGGCAGATCCTGCTGATGATTCATATAAAACAAAATTCTTATTTGGGTATTGCATTTCAGCTTTGCTCTTTGCACTGTTGGGTGTGTTGTTTTTTTTTTTGAGCATTTGTATGGGTGTTTTTGTGCGTGTTTCAGATTTGAGTGTTTTTTTAAAATTATTATTTTTAGCCAATGAAAAGCTCATTTCTGGGCACGCAAATGCAAGAAAAATGTATGCTGTTTTCCACAAGTTTTTTACGCACACCCACTAAAGTCTATTGGGCTCAATATGCACCACTCTATTCCAAAAGAAGCTCATGTACTTTTTCGGGCTACAGGTGTTTTACTACAGGTGACGGAATGCTCAAATGTGAACAGGGGTCATTGGAAACAATGGGATTCCCCTTATTGAGCATGGTAGCAATTAGGCTCTGTTCACATCTTTGCAACTTGGGAGCACTTGCGATGCTGCACTCTATCCCACATCGCATGTTGCAATGTTAAGTGCACTGTAGTGCAATTGTTTTCTTAATGGCATCCCAACACACCTAGCATTGCAACATGTGCTGTGGTATCACATGCAATGCTGCAAGTGATCCTGCATCACATGTTGCAATGTTAGTGTTAATAAATAATGTCACCCCAATGCACCTGGCCATCGCATGTGCGTTGTATCACACCACATCACATGGTAGCCTGTTGCCATCTGATGTAGTGTTATTTTAAATAAAGGTGATTGCACTTCTTTTAGTGTGATTTAGCTGTGGTAGGCAAGTGAATGGTCTGCTCTACCGCAATGCACCCTGCAACAGCTCTGCAATGGTGTATCAGAGAGGTGTGAAAGGAGGATGCTAGGCATTCGAGCTCCAAAATGCTCAGGTGTGAATAGGGTAACTCTCTTAATATGACACATCAATCCATCTGTGTTGTTTATGGTCTGCAAAAGATTTACATACAGTATCTGACTTTCTGAGATCCCCAAATCCAAGACCTTCTACATAGAAAAGTCACTACATAGAAAACGTAATGGCATGGACAGGTGCCAACATTGTACACATGGGTCTGCTGTTTTAGATGGGTGTTACAGGTATAGAAAGATTACAAAATAAAGTCGTTTTTTCTTTGGAACTTTGCAATGGCCGGATTGCACAATCTTTATTGTATCAGAGTCTGCCAAACCTTCACAGTCACAATGACTACAAATGTAGACTAGTGTCTCCACAATAGTATTGACTCTAAAACTGGACACACAATCATGAATGAATAAAGAAAAGGTGCCAAATAAAAAAATCCTCACTGAAAGGATTCAATATTCTTATAGTCTCCTTACAGGAAATTATGATCATTATCTTGATAACGATGATTAATATTGTTTTTATTACACACAGTACCAAGTATCCTACTGTCCTGTACACGGTAAACTGTTTATTTGCACAGCGTTGTTACAGTTATGTAATTTACAAAGCCATTGTTGAAGTCTCTCGTAAAAATTACTTCCATATTGGCCACATAAAAGAGGCGTATAATACTGGGAAGATCTAGGTGGTAGCCCAGGGTTCATGGCTTTCGAAAGGCCCTCTACTTACCTTGTGCTATGTAAAGTACCACCGGTATAATAGTCCAACCACCCAGATTGGCCTTCAAGGTGCCTGCACATCTTCTGGGTACATCTGAACATACATGTTGTGATCTAATGGTACAATCTCCTTTAGATCTATGAAACAACTATATGGGTCAAGGATCTGCCTAATTAGATACAAATTGAATGGATTGATTAGTTAGGTCCCTATTTTTTATGGTTTTGGAAAATCTGAATGACATTGTACAGAGTTTGTACAATTGAATTGTAATGTGTATGGCCAGCATTGACTTCTAGAGAAACCCAAGATCCCTAAAACCAAGGTACTGAAATATGGAAGTAGCACATTCCACTATAAAATTGGTACTTGGTTTCTCTGGCTGCCCAATACATTGACTGACACTCATCAGGCATGGCAAGGAAGAGGAGGCAAGACTAAACTTCAACCTAGAGTGACTGGATTTTGGGGTCCCTGGGTATTTCTATAGGATAAGTGAGTAGGCATGAACACACTAATGATAGTTTACACAGCAAAAGTTCTGAACAGTCTTTTCAACTGGTTAATGAAAGGTCTGTCACTATTTTATCATCTTTCTCTAAAAGGTGAGGGAATAAGTACATTTCACTGCAGTGGTGGCAAGTGAATAAGTGCATGTCACTGCAGTGGTGGCAAGTGAATAAGTGCATATCACTGCAGTGGTGGCAAGTGAATAAGTGCATGTCACTGCAGTGGTGGCGAGTATATTATTATCATACAGGATTTCTATAGCGCCAACAGTTTGCGCAGCGCTTTACAATATAAGGAAGACATTACAGTTACAATACAATTCAAGACAAGATGGTAAGGAGGGCCCCGCCCGTGAGGGCTTACAATCTAAAAGGGAGGGGCAAGTGATACATGAGGTACATGAGGAGGTAGCTGTGTGGGGATGAATTGTTTGAGAATGTGATGGTTCAGTGGTTAGTTTGAGGTGGGATAGGCTTCCCTGAAGAGATGAGTCTTAATTGATTGCTTAAAGGCAGTTAGAGCAGGAGATAGACGGACATGTTGGGGTAAAGAGTTCCAGAGGATGGGAGAGACTCTAGAGATGTCCTGGAGGCAAGCATGGAAGGAGTTGACGAGGGAGCTGGAAAGCAGGAGGTCTTTGGAAGAGTGGAGGGATTGGTTAGGGTGATACTTTGAGACAAGGTTTGAGATATAGTCAGGGGCAGAGTTGTGCATGTCACTGCAGTGGTAGTGAGTGAATAAGTGTATGCCACTGCAGTGGTGGCAAGTGAATAAGTGCATGTCCCTGCAGTCGTGGCAAGTGAATAAGGGCATGTCACTGCAGTGGTGGCAAGGGAATAAGTGCATGTCACTGCAGTGACTGGCAATGGCACTGCAAGCGAGCTGTGCGTTTTGTGCGCATTTCATGAAAGCGTAGCAAAGCGCACTTTTTTGCCCAAATTTGTGGCATGTTCATAGAACGTGATGGTGTGAACCGGGACTAAGTGTATGTTGGTGCAGTGGTGGTGAGTGATTATAGGGGTGATTTATAAACTGTCTCCACCTAGTGGGCTTAATGCGCAGCAATTGATTTATAAACCATTTGTGTATCAAACAGCTATGCGGATGGTTTATAAATCACCCCTTCATAGGTACAGTGGAGTGACTAAGTATGGCCACCCTAGCAGGGGTGTTTTACTGTTAGGATAAACAGATGAAAATAATGGAAGAAGCCTGGAAACCGATGCAGCCGCCACATCTGCTGCAATTTCTATATTTTGTGTTTTGGGTTTAGATACGCTTACATTTAGAACTAATAACTATAGAATTTCAATTGTGTATTTATCTGCTACCTGGAGAGATGTGTTACCTGATACTAAACAAATTAGTGCAACTGGGAGGTATTCTCACCATGCATTGGATTCCCACCACTGCAGAAGACCATCTAGGGTTGCCATCAATGAGATCAAAAGAATTCACTACGATGGAAAAAGTTATTTTTTGAAACTTAGCACTTTTATTAAGAGTAAAGGATGTTGAAATAATCTGTTGTACATTATCCTAAGGTACCCTGAATCCCATACCCCAGTATACGTCTATTGATCTCTAGCAGTATAAAGATGATTCTGTATTGTTCCAGCAAAGCCTTCGTATTGCTCCCTCTATTTGTACTGGAGCTAGATCCATTCACGTTATTGTTTTTGAACAATGGTATTGTTATTGAAGTGTATATAATGTATCATCACCATTTAAATGGGTATAGATAACCAATGACATCTCATGATACTCTCCAGATACTGCCTGTTTTGAGTGTCGCTATGTGTATTGTTTTGTGTACTGTACAACAGCAAAAGGTTTCCCAGCACACTCACGCGCCAAGGCACCTCTATATAGTGCGTTCCTAACTCTAAATTATGAGAGTCTCCACATTTGCTCCAAGATGGAGACTCTCATAGTTTAGATTTAGGACCGCACTATATAGAGATGCCTTGGCGCGGCTGTGCGGCTTTCACATTTTCTGCCGAAGACGGATATCTAGACCTCTGTTTTTAACCTTAGCGGTGAGACAAGTTTTTTAGCATGCTGACTGGCGAGGGTGCTGGGAAACGTTTTTCTGTTTTAAGCCCATCCAAGTGCACCTTGCTGTAAAGCTGGTAATGAATTGATGAGATTCTGACTATTAGGTGAAACCGGAGAAAGACTCATCTTGGGAGAAATTCTATGAACTGAGTTGAATATTATATTTGATTACAGTAGTTATTATACCTGCAGTTCCTAAAGCAACTACTTGGGTTTCTTGGCTTGCTGTTGTGCCCTTTCTGCTGCACTTTCAGTGCTAAAAAGTGCCTCTGGCGTCAATCCTAGCGTCACTAAACCAGAGGCCCGGTGCTAGTTGCTATGGGTGCCACAACAAACATTGGAAGGCAATGTTCAGGCTCACAAAAATGTTTGGCCGTGTACAGAAGCTTCCAGTCAGAATCGACGGCACAATAAACAACCCAAGAGTTTGATGTCAGTGGAAATCCCCGATATGACTGCTAGTGCTAGCACTAAAACAACACCGTACACTGAACATAAAGTAGAATCTTTGAGATCCCAAACCAAGAGGCACCATGAGAGGCAAAGGGGACTTTCATTACTTAC